ATAAATATATATATAGAGTTCAAATGCAGTTTTGTATATATATATATATAGCGAGCTACCGGCCGATTGTGTGCCATGTGGTGGTTACTTTGGTGGATGTAAGTGAGGTGAGGATGGGTGGAGAAAGATAGATAGATAGATAGATAGATAGATAGGCAGATAGATAGATAGACATATAGATAGATAGAGAGAGGTGGAGGGGGAGAGATGGAGCCAGACAGAAAGACAAACAGAGACAGGCAAACAGGCAGACAGACACAGAGAAAAGGAGATAGATAGATAGAGATCAATAAATGTAAAATGTAATCGAGAGACTGAAAGATAAAGTAGAAGATAATTTAGGAAAAGATGAAGAAGCAAGAAGAATGAAGAATTTCATTTTTGAAAGAAAGGAGAAGAATGAAAAGAGAAGAAAAGAAGAAAAAAGAAAGTGAAGGAGGCGGAAGAGGAAGAGGAGGAGGAAGAGAAGGAGAAGCAGAAGGAGGAACAGGAGAAGGAGAAGGAGGAGAAGGAGAAAGGGAGAAGGAGGAGAAAGAGGAGGAGGAGGAAGAGGAGGAGGAAGGGGGGGAGGGAATCCAGAAGGGAGGGAAGTGTGTCAAAAGAAATGTGCTCTGACATTCTGCTGAGCCAAACCACATACAATGACAGTGACGGGGCACTTTTAACACGCAGAGGGAGAAGAACACTTACAACCACATTCTCTTTGGACCTTCCTAGAGGAGTGCCTTGAACCGACTAGCAGAGGGAGAAAAATTTGGTGACTTAGTCTAATAAAAGTCCCGTGTTGTTTTGATCTAGAAATGTTATATATATAGATATTGATTTACTTTTTTTTATGTTTTTTTTTTCTTCTTCTTCCTCTTCTAAAAACTATGTATATATATGGATATATAATCTAGTTAGAAAAAAAATATTTATTTGTTTAAATCGTATTTTTTTGGAGTTTAATTAAGTGCCCTCTGATTTTTTTTTTTAAATCTAAGTTTTATATTATGGGAAACTACCGTTTATTGAATGAGTGCTAAAAAGAAAACAGAACATCTCTCTTTTTTTAAGCTTAAGAAGGACAGTTAAATTAAGAGGGACACAGATTTTTCATTTCCAGGAGGATCAGTTGTTATAATATTTACTTTTAGAACATCTCTTAAAAAAAAAGAAAAAAAAAAAGAATGTATCATAACACATAAGAATTTCCCTTTTTTTGTTTTGTTAGAAAAAAAAAGAATAAAAATATAATATAATAATGATAACTAATTGTAAAATAAATAATCCGGTACTCCTACTTACTGCATCTTTGTCGATATATTCTAGGTTGATATCAGGGCCAAATATTTCCCGAATGATGTTATCAATAACTTCGTCATCCTTCTTAGTCAATGCTTCGCCCTCCAGTCTGAGCGGTAGCATCTGCAGCATATGCTTATTGTCCAGCTACGGGAAGTTATAAAAGCAGACTTTAACAGCGGGAATGAGGCACTAGATTTTTTTTTTTTTTATTTATTTATCTCTCTAAAGTCGCTTGAACTGAAAACCGAACTGTCTGTCTCAGAGATCTAGGCGCTGTCAACTCTGGTGTTGATGTTAAGCCTGCTCTGAGGTGTGTGGGTATCCTGCTAATGGCGTTCTTCTTTCAAACCCTGTCTTGAAGTGTCTGTTGCCTGGTGTTTCTTTCCATGTACACATATCTTTATGTATATGTATATATACGCACATATAAGAATGCATGTATATATCTATATATGTATATACGTACATGTGTGTATTCATACATATTTATCTTACCCTGCTTTGAGGTGCCTTGTCATCACATCTCTCTCTCTCTCTCTCTCAGATGTAATATTCCTGTTGTATTCTAAGCCCTGTTCTTCTATGCTTCGTAATACGGTAGACTTGTTTGTATTTGTATTTTTTTTTAGAACACTGTGTGTGTGTGTGTGTGTGCGTGTGTGTCTGTTTTTTTTCGGGATGCTGTGTTCTGTTCACTCTTGTTCTTTGTTTATGTTTATTGCTTGTAATTATTGCTTAAGTTTATTGTTCATGTATACGGTTTTCCCTACTATTCCCTGGCTGGGGTTTCTGTAAGATGTTTACCTGTTTTTTCTAATTTTTCCTTTATCCAGCTGTCTCTACCACATACTTAGCTGCTTCTCTCGTGTTCCTAGATGCGCGCGCCTGTGTGTATGACCTAAAAGTGTCTGTACCATGTCTAGTATTAGCCTGAGAATAAGAAAGTGGCTGTTTGGTCCATTGGCTCGCACAGGGTGATTTTTTTTTGTCTTGTGATTCCATACTTAATGGGAGAAACTGTCACTCGTGCTCTGTAGAAGATGAAACGTGAGAAAAAGCGGTGACGCTTGAATAAAGGTTTATATGGTGCGAAGGTGAAGAGAGAGAAAATTAAAAAAAAATAATTGAAAAAAATAAACAAGGTGAGAGATAAGCGTGCTGGAGGAAGGAATAAAAAAGAAAAATATATATATATATATACGTCGTAGAAAATAAAATAAGAAGAATGATGGTTAACCCGGCTGTGCGGATATGGGAACCCACGTTGTGATAGGCCTACTGGAGGAGGGACGAAGGGCCTACCTACACTTAGCAGTAGGGAGGGGGAAGGGCGAGGGGGGGGGGCTAAAGGGAGCGAAAATGGAGACACTCATACCAAACTTGAGGTCCATCGAGGCTTCAGATGGACTGAGGACGAGTCGGCGGGAGATGAGGGGAGAAAAAGGGGGAAGAAGGGGGGGCGGAGCATGAGCATGAGGGGACGAGGGCAGAGGGGAAAAGGAGGACGACCATCTACTCACACACTTGGGACTAAAAATATATATATATTAATAATGACCTCTGGGACGTGGGAGGCCATCCTGTTCAGGAGCTGAGACTCTTTGGTGGGTGGCTTGCCGTTGATTAGATCCCCGTGGGAGGTGTAGGAAATACGGGACGTGTGGGAAGTGTAGGAGTTGTGGCGGGAGCCCAGGGTTGTATACACAGGCACGATGATGGCACCGTTTTCCTCGCTCATGGGTGTGACCGCGGCGGAGTCGTCGGCGTATGGCAGGTGCTCCTGTGCGTCCAGGTACGTGGACAGCACCAGAGGCTTCTTGTCGCCAAAGCGCCGGCCGTTAGCGGTCCGCCAGGTGAATTGGTGGCTACCCCGGGACCCTTTTCGAATGTTATAAGGTGAGCCAGGGAGGCTAAGACTCGCCTGCAAGAAGAAGACAGCGCCACCATGAGGCCGGTGTGGGCGTGGCTCCGCCCACATCAGCCCCACAGATCCTACTGCTTGCTGGGGACACGACAACCTGCGGCTCAAACACTGATCTCTTCTACCGCTCCTACGTCAGCACTCCGGCCACGTGGCTCGCCTGCGTCACGAGGCAACACGCGGCCAGTTCCTCTAATATCCGCACGGGAGGGGCGTCGCCCTCCTGCACCCGCAGGGGGTATTCAGAAGGGACCGCCCGCTCTTCAGGCGTCTTGGCCATCTAAACTTAGCTACATTATGTGTCAAAATTTTGGAAGCAGTGATGGAAGCCAGTGCTCGAGCGTAGGCGGGTGCGGTACAATAACAATGTGGATGAGTTCTGCGGCGCGGGCGGGCGGGCCCCCGTCGTCGAGTACCAGCGCCCACCAGAGGGCCCCGGTACCCGACAGCGGACTCCGCCTCGGGCACTGACGCCGCGCCGCATCAGAGAGAGAGAAGCGGCAGACACGCCCGCACACACGTCTACATAGAGGCAGTGAAAAAGGAAAGCTGACGAACACATCCACATAGACACTGAGAAGAGGAGATATCAGTTCTGTTCAGCACATCACTAGAGACAGACAAACATGGAATCTTTCTACATCCAATGTGGACCAACAGTCGATTGATCTTCTAGTTTGATGATTAGAATTTCTTAAACAAAGTAGGGGTTTTTGCCCCCTGTGGAGACCTGACACGCCAAAATGGACCATACAGTAATCTATACTAGATTCTACAGTGTCTAAAACACTACTAATTAACTGTATAACACATTCTAACACTTGCTCTCTAAGAATCTAAGAATTTGTTTCGCATGCTGATACTCTCTGTTCGCTATCAAGTAACTCTAGGCTATTTGGTCTAGACTAAAATGTGGGTTTGGGTCTGTCTCACGGCGGAGCGCGGGCGTGCAGGAAGGCCAGGCACCCTTGCACGCTCATGACTACACGTGCTGCACGGCCGAGCATTCCTGCACGAACGAGGTCCGCCTACAGGAAGGCCTAACGTACCTGCGTGAGAGTATGGCTAAACACACGTACATATACACGCAGGCACACACACACAAACAAACACACACATGCACACACACACACACACACACACACACACACACACACACACACACACACACACACGCACACACACACACACGCACACACACACACACACACACAGACCCATACACATTTTGGCTCACAAAATGAGATTTGTTAGGTAGAAGCAGAAACCACGTCTATAACCTCATCATTTTAAGCAAAACCTATGTAACAGCAATCCTTCATTATGAGATACATTACCTCTACTCATGGACCAAATCTATATTAGCGTGAGACTACACCTTGATGTAGCAGACTCACTGAGAGGACTGGCTTTCACACAAAATTATGATTAGTAAGAGCCTTTAACTTTTAGGCTAAACTCTCTCTCTCTCTCATTCTCTCTCTCTCTCTCTCTCTCTCTCTCTCTCTCTCTCTCTCTCTCTCTCTCTCTCTCTCTCGCTCTCTCACACACACACACTATTGTCGTAGGGACTAGCAAGTCATACTGCAACACGACAGAGTTAGTGTGCAGAAAAGCATGCAAGAAAAATAACAACAACAACACAGGTAGTTTACACTTGACAGCAATGCCATATCGATTGCAACATATATGCCGATGTGTGAGATATATCATTTTCGTATGTAGTAGAGTATATGCAAGGATTCTGCAACATATATGCAACATATCTGTATTGCCGTAAAATACACAAGGTACAACTAAATATCCAGAGGAACGGACGACACACATACAAACGTACATAGAAATCACACATATTCCTTAAACCAAAGTAAAAAAAAACAAAACAAAAAAACAATAAAAAAAAACAGTGTGGGTGTTGTCTGTAGATCACACACACACAGAGAAAAAAAAAAGTTGATGTTTAAGAAGTCTAATTCTGATGTCTGCAGTGGCTATTAAAATCTGTAAAGATGTTATTTCATCGTGGGTTCATGTTAAGACGCCATGCACATCCTACGAAAAAAAGAAAGCTTTAAGACACCGACTAGAACACTAGTGGTGTTTTTTTATTTTGTTTTAAAGACAAGCTACACATGGGAAGAAAGGTCATTCAAGGCCCACATATATAAACCAGTCCCTATAGGGTTTACGTGTATAGGCCTAAGCTAGAGAGAAGATATGGGAGGAGGAGGGGGGGGGATTAGGGTAAAGGAGAAGGGGAAAGGGCAGATAAAAGTGGACAGAAAAGGGAAGGGAGGAACGGGAAAGGCAGATAAAAGTGGTAAGAAAAGGGAGGAGGGGAAGGGGAAAGGCAGATAAAAGTGGAGAGAGAAGGGAGGAGGGGAAGGGGAAAGGCAGATAAAAGTGGTAAGAAAAGGGAGGAAGGGAAGGGGAAAGGCAGATAAAAGTGGTAAGAAAAGGGAGGAGGGGAAGGGGAAAGGTAGATAAAAGTGGAGAGAGAAGGGAGGAGGGGAAGGGGAAAGGCAGATAAAAGTGGTAAGAAAAGGGAGGAAGGGAAGGGGAAAGGCAGATAAAAGTGGTAAGAAAAGGGAGGAGGGGAAGGGGAAAGGCTAATAAAAGTGGTAAGAAAAGGGAGGAAGGGAAGGGGAAAGGCAGAGAGAAGTGGAAAGAGAAGGGAGGAGAGGAAGGGGAAAGGCAGATAAAAGTGGTAAGAAAAGGGAGGGAAGGAAGGGGAAAGGCAGAGAGAAGTGGAGAGAGAAGGGAGGAGAAGAGTTGCAGTTATAGGAGGAGGATGAGGAGGAGGAAAAGTAAGAGTAAGAGGAGGAGGAGGAGGAAGAGGAGGAAGGAGGAGGAGGAAGGAGGAGGAGGAAGAGGAGGAGGAAGAGGAGGAGGAGGAGGAGGAGGAGGAGGAGGAAGAGGAGGAGGAGGAGGAGGAAGAGGAGGAAGAAGAAGAAGAGGAAGAGGAGGAGGAGGAGGAGGAGGAGGAGGAGAAAAAGGAGAAACTTGTGTAGTAGTAGTATTAACAATAATGATAGTAGTAGTAGTAGTAGTAGTAGGGAGAAGAGGAGGAGGAATAGGAGGAGGAGAAGGGATAGGAGAAAAAAGGATAGGGATAGGAGAATAAAGAGAAGGTGGTGAAGAAAGGCGAAGAGGAAGTGGTGGAAAAGAAAAGGAGGAAGGAGGAACAGGGGAAATAAGAGGGGGAAGAATAGGAGGAGGAGGAGGAGGAGAAGGAGGAAGAGGAGGAGGTGGAGGGAGGAGGAGAAGGAAGAGGATAATTCGGAGGAGGATGATTCGGAAACGAAAAAGGGAGAAAGAAGGAAGGAAGGAAGGAGAGAAGGACACGAGCAGGAAAAGGCGACAGCGGGGGGGGGGGGGGGAGAGGGGGGGAAGGGAATAACAGAAGGGAAAAGAAAAGGATTAAGGATAATGGAAGCGGTAATAGAAGAAACAGAAGAGCGAGGGCGTGAGGCCAGCGACGACGAAAGAACTATATTTCCTACAGACAGAGATTAAGAACCTCCATGCAGGGACCACGAGGAAGAGAGAACGACGAGGAGATGAAGGGAATAATAAAGACGTATTTTTTTCCCCTCCTTTTTGTTTATATGGAGATATGAGCTACGAGAAAGAAGAGAAAAATAATAACTTCCTGAGGTTTACGTGGTGGGGAGAGGGGGGGAGGAGGAGGAGGAGGAGGAGGAGGAATGGGGGGGAGGGGTGAATAAACAGCGAGAAAGAGAGAGAGAAAGAATGGCAGGAATGGACGAAAGGACATAGTGGGCCGATGGAGTAGGTGAGGGAAGTGGAGAAAATAAGGAAAAATGAAGCAAGTGACGAAAGACAGTGCGTAGGAAAGGACGAGAAGATCCTCAGGGCATGTCGAAGGGGGAGGGGGAGGTGCCGGGGGGGGGTGAAGAAGGCAACGGCGACGGCAAACAGTAAGACAGAAGCGAGAAAGGGAGGGGCAAGAGTGGGGCTCGGAGGGCGGGGGAGGGAGAGAGGGAGGGGGGGGAGGGGAGGGAGAGAGAGAGAGAGAGTGTGTGTGTCGGGGGAGGGGGGGGGGCAGGACCTCAGCCAGCTTCTGGTTTGGGTATTGATTCTTGAAGCCGAGCCATGGCGGTCGTGGCCCCGCTGTGGCTCGACCCCTTCTTGCCAGGGCTCCGTGTCCTGCAATCCTACCCACAGAAAGCCCTCCTTCTGCGATCTATTTCCTAATTAAGCCCCTAATGTTACCCCCACCCCCCCTCCCTGTCCCTCCCTCAGCCCCTTACCTATCACTTTGCCTAATTTTCCCTGGCTACCGGCTCGGCCCCTGGGAGTAGTTGCACCTCATCCCTCATTAGACATCTAGTTCTTTGCTGCTTCTACTTCCCCTTCACGAGATCTTATTATTATGTATATCTTAAGAAGAGGATGAAAAAAAAAAAATACATGTGCAGGGAATGAATAGCAACGGTATTTCAGGTCTGCCGGCGGCGCGGAGTTTCGCTTTCAAACTGCCTCGACTCGGGAAGACGGTGAGGCCTCCGGCGTGCCTGACGAACAGCTGCCTGTCCAAGCCATTCGTGACGTAATCACGCTGCCTGTCTACGTCGCGATTGTCTACTTACGCCATTTGTGACGTAATTCCCCTTGCCTGTTTATGTTACGACTGCCTGTCTTGTGACGTATTCCTCCTACCTGTCTAAACCACTTGTGACGTAAACCATCTATCTGTCCAAGTTACTCATGGCGTAATCTTCCTATCTGTCTACGTCCTCTGTGACGTAATCCTCCTGTCTGTCTCCGCCCTTTGTGACTCATCTTTTATATACCCCTCCTGACTCCCTTTCCCCCGCTTGTCCCATCCACATCTAACTCCTTTTCCTCCTTTGTTCCTGACTTCTCATGCCTCCTATGCCTGTCCACTCTTTCCGGATGCAATTCCCTTGCCCTTTCTACTTCATGCCCATTCTATTCCCGCCCGTCTATTTCGTGCCCAACTTCCCTCTCTGAGTGAGGGACTTACTCTCCGTTTTCTGTTCACTGAGGAAATCCAAGCTAGCTGCTCCCTTTCTGATAAAACCCAATATTTCCCAACCCACTATCCTATATTCCTTTCTATTACAAATCCAGCATTCGTTCCTGGTTTTAATAGGTGAAAGATTACAAACTACAACCTAATGATGCGAAGGGAAGGTTGTCTAATCCTCTATTTACATTTATACATACATATGTTTCCATACACTTATGAGAGGAAAAGGGTGCAAATCACTACGTTTAAGGGGATTGTTTTCC